TTTTAGGACTATAAAACTGGACAGCTATTTGTCTGAACTGCTTGAGCAGGGAGTTGGACTAGATGACCTCCAAAACCCCTTCTGACTCTTGTTATTATAAGTTCTAAAATTAACTGATATTGATTTCCCCCACCCCCCCAAAATGGACTTATTAGCTAAGAGACAGAATTACCTTGTCCTGGCTGCTCATCTTTTTCTGATTTTTCTGATTCCAGGGTAAATACGTGTTTAGCATGTTCCTGGACTTGTAGTTTGCACTCATCTATTCTTTTTTCCAATCTGGAAATAATTTCATAGGGCATCGGTGCATTATCATAAAGACGCTGGGCAACAGTATCTACAGGATAGTCATTTTTTATCCGGGAAACCAAGGGATAAGGATTTACATCTGGCAAGTATGGGGTTTTGGGCCAATCATCCTGCAAAGAACAGGAATTATAAAATAAATGTTAATAGCAATAGCACTTAGACTTATATATCTCTAAGCGGTTTACAGAGTCAGCCTCTTGCCCGCTTCCTTGTTTTACTGACGTTGGAAGGATGGAAGGCTGAGTCCACCTTGAGCCAAGTAAGATTTGAATTGCCAAATTGCAGGCAGCCAGCAGGCAGCAGAAGTTGCCTGCAGCACTGCAGTCTAACCACTGCGCCACCATGGCTCATTAGGTAGAACTAATGTTAATGTCTGTTTTATACATGAAGCCACGAAGTACAGGCAGTCCTTGACTTACAAGCCTTCGTTTAGTGACTGCCTAAAGCAAGGGTCTTCAGACTTGGCAAGCTTAAGATTTGTGGACTTCAACTCCCAGAATTGATTGCTGCGTTCCTGTCAAACAGGCGACAAATAGTAAAAATAGGGAGCGCTATATCAAACCCTGCTCCAGTTAACAGCGGTGCCCCACAAGGCAGAGTACTAAGACCCACACTCTTTATACTCTATATAAATGACGTCTGTGATCACTTTATAAGCAACTGCATCCTCTTTGCGGATGACGTAAAACTATTCAACACTACTGACAATGCTACTATCCTTCAAAGAGGCCTTGATTATGTGTCTGAATGGTCAAACATCTGGCAACTCCAAATCTCGACTAACAAAAGCTCTGTCCTACACATTGCTAAAAAAAAATCAGGACACCAAATACAAACTAGGCAGATATGATCTCGTTGATGATCTTCACTCTGTCAAGGACCTCGGAGTTCTCATATCAAATGACCTAAGTGCCAGAGCTCACTGTAACAGCATTACCAAAAAGGCATTAAGAGTTGTAAATCTAATCTCACGAAGCTTCTCCCCCGAAAATATTGAATTGCTAATTAGAGCATACAAAACTTTTGCCAGACCAATACGCGAATACAGCTCATCAGTCTGGAATCCGCACTGCATATCAGACATTAATACAATCGAGCGAGTCCAGAAGTATTTCACGAGAAGAGTACTACACTCCTCTGCTTGCAATAGAATACCCTACACCACCAGGCTTGAGATTTTGGGCTTGGACAACCTTGAACTACGCCGCCTATGGTTAGACTTAAGCGTAGTACACAAAATTATCTGCTACAATGTCCTACCAGTCAATGACTACTTCAGCTTCAACCGCAACAATACAAGAGTATACAACAGATACAAACTCAATGTATACCACTTCAAACTTGCAGAAAGTACGACTTCAGCAACAGAGTGGTCAATGCCTGGAATGCACTACCTGACTCTGTTGTTACATCCTCTAACCCCCACTCCTTTAACCTCAAACTAACCACTATTGACCTCACCCCATTCCTAAGAGGTCTGTAAGGGGCGTGCATAAGTGCACCATCGTGCCTACTGTCCCTTGTCCTATTGTCCCCATTTATTTGTACCGATTTCCTGTATTCTTACTCATGTTTATACTTATGTTTATTATCTTGTAAGCGATTGACAAATCAAATAAATCAAATACATAAATAAATTAAATAAATTCCCGAGTTAACATGACTGGAGGAGGAATTCTGGGAGTTGAAGTGCACAAGTCTTAAAGCTGTCAAGTTTGAAGACCCCTGGTCTAAAGTTACAATGGCACTGGAAAAAAGGGACTTATGGCCAGTTTTCACACTTAGGACCATTGCAGTATCCCCATGGTCACGTGATCAAAATTCAGCTATTGGCAACTGACTCATGATGGTTGCAGTGTCCTGGGGTCCCATGATCACTTTTTGCAAATTTGCGGCAGGCAAAGTCAGTGGAGAAGCCAGATTCACTTAACAACTGTATTACCAACTAAAGCACTGCTGTGATTCACTTAACAACTGTGTGGCAAGAAAGAATGTAAAATGGGGCAAAACTCACTTAACAAATATTTTGCTCAGCAACAGAAATGTTGGGCTCAACTGTGGTTGTAAGTCGAGGACTACCTGTATACTGGAAAATTTTATTAAGTGATGTTTCCCCATTGCTAATAGTAAAGAGATGTATTGATTTTGCAATTCATATTATACTTGTTCAACCCTATTTTTTGGTATCTAACAGCATTGACGAATTGCCTTTTTCTCTCACATAGCATTTCTAATTACCTTCGGAAGCTCCATGATAAACTGTCCAGCATTAATCATCATACCTGCATCTATTATTTCTTTGCTGAGCTCTGATGATTAACCTGTAACAGGGGGATCTAAAGACCTCTAGATGTTTCAAACTGCACAATCACCATTCCTGGTGTTTATTGTTATTACTTGTAATGAAATTTTCATACCATTTCCCATGCATTCAAAGTGCTATGAAAATTATTCCATAAACGTACATACCAAATTGAAACAGGTCAAAAATTCCTCAAATGTACCAGGAAGTTTTAGAGTTTCCTATAAACACACAAAGATACACGTCTTATAAAATAAAGCAGACCTTGTTATACAGTAAAAGTTACTCCTTTCAGTGCTAGTAAGCCTGCAAATTGGGTTTTGCTAATCTAATACTCTGAAGAAATATTATTATCAAAGAAATAAAATTTAAAATATGTGGACTATTCTGATCTGATTCATATGAAATGGTCAGTTATCTTATTGTTTCTTGTAAAACTTACATACATACGGACTATTAGGGCATTATGGTTATTCAACAAACCAGTTTAAAGAATTCTGGCTTAGTATTATATGTAAACAAGGCCCTTGTATCTCAAATCCTGGGTTTTTTTCTGACTTGTTGGGGGGAAATCCACTTGTTTTTACTGAAATATTGTATGCTGCTAGTAATTTCAGAAATGGAGACTAACGATCAAAACATTGCCTTTGCTACTTTGATGAATTTTGATGTGGTTATGTTCATGTATGCCATCAAAGACTGAAGTATAACTGAGCATAACAATTGGCATAGTACATAATGACATTTTGCCCAAACATACTGAGCATACCATGGCTAAGATAAATATGTGAACACAGGACATTTCTTTGTTATTTCTGAAACAGGAAAAAAAGTCAGCAATGTTATTTTAAAAACTTCTCATTCTCAATTTTTTTAAAGAATTGATCCATAAGACTTTTTACCACCACCACTATCCTAATTGAGCACTCTGATTCAATAGAATCAGCCAGTTGGCCAAATTCATTTGAGGAATATACTATTATTTTATTTACACTGAACCATTTTGTAACTCTTTTCATTCCTCGTATCAACAAACAATTTGTTTCTAATTGGGTTTTTGTTTTTCCTTCAGATTTCAGTCTGGCAGAGCAATAAATAAACATCCCATAGCAAATGGTGAGATAGCTCGCTCTCACTATGTGTTCACACAACATGCTTCATTTAATTCTGATAAAAATCTAGGGGCCATACATGTATCATAAACTAAGCTTGATTAGTATATGTCTTGAGGTACAATGAAAACATGGTTTCTTTGGTATTTCTCCAAAGTGGCGAATATTGACCTCCAAGCATCAACTGGACTATCCAAGGAGTTGACCTATTGTTATTTGTGGCAAAGTAATATTTATTAAATTATTTCCATTTAGTAAATGTTTTGAGGGACCAAC